ACGGGGCCTTATGTGCAGCAATTTTTTTAAAAAAAAACCCATTCAAGCACATTCTAGATCTGGGAGGCCTGTAGATCCCATCATCCCAAAGATGGCAGTGGCCTTCTGGATCAAGACCTCCAAGGGTACCTGCAACCCCACACATGCATGTATTAAGATAGGTAGGAAGGCAGGCAGGGAGACCAACGATACATGATAAATACATGATAGACGATACTAAAAGGATGGATGGATAAACAGATTTATTTATTTAATGAATTTATATTGCCTCCTATTTGCCCATGATGATGATAGGGGTGTGTGCGCATCTGTCTACACAAACAGATATACATACACACATGTATACTTGTATGAGTATTTGTATGTATACACACTTGTATAAACATATTTATTAAATTTATATTTTATATACAGGTTATATGTGTGTGTGTGTGTGTGTATGTATGTATGTATCTATATGTGTGTGTGTGTGTATAGATAGATAGATAGATAGATAGATTAGATATAGATAGATATAGATATATAGAGATAGAGATAGAGATATATAGATAGATAGATAGATAGATAGATAGATAGATAGATAGATAGAGTGCGTGAATATCTTTGGATCTTTGGTTATTCGGGTTTTCTCCCGCGTAAAACTGGAAGTATCTAGGCGACACAAGCCTGAAGATGATGAATGAGACTTCATCGAAACGTCGCCTAGATACTTCCAATTTTACGTGGGAGAAAACCCGAATAACCAAAGATCCACATACAAATACCTGTGAAAACCTCAGAAAACATATATATATATATATACATACACAATGATATATAACTATATAATAATGTCCTGAGGATAGATCTACTGATGAATGAAGGCCTTTATGTGTTTTAGGAGCGAAGGCCAAGGTTCCCCTCTGGGCTGCCATCGCCTTTTGCTTTTTTGCCTTGCAGAATATTCACAATTATAGGACCGTTTTTGATGCTGATTCAGCAGCCTGAAACCGCCCCCCCCCCCATGAAACACAACAGCCCTGCCAGGTGGGCTTGGCAGGAAGGGAGGGAGGGGGGAGGGGCGCAGACTGCAGCCCTCCGCCCCTAATAACACTCCCCCCTCCCCCCGCCAGAACCTCCATGGGGCATTTAGGGCACCTGGACTCCCACACCCCTAAGCCACGCCGGAAGAGCCCCATGGGGGTGGGGAGAAGGGGGTGACACGGGCCAGCAGGGGGCCCGTGCCGATAGCCGCTGGGGCGGATGGTTGTGGTAGTCCTCCAGCACCCCCGCCTCAGAGCCCCCGGCGCCACGGACTCCCTCTTCCATCGGGCTGGGGATGATGGGCGTGGGTGGCCGCCCTCCGGCCTACCTTGAACTCGGCGATGGTGAGGCCCCGGGCATATCTCTTCAGGGCGCGGAAGGAGTTGAGGCTGCTGCTGATGGAGACCGACACCACCGCGGGGGTCCCGGTCACGCTCATCCCGGCCGCCGCCTCCGTCGCTTCTCCCGGTACCGCCACACCTCAGGCCCCCTTCACGGGCCGCTCCCTCCGGCCAGCCAATCAGCGCCCCGCCGCTCGCCCCGCTGGCCAATCCCCTCCCCGCTCGCCGCACCCGCCCCGCCTCCGCCCGCGGTCCTGCGCGTCTCGGCCTTTTCTTTTCTCCTGCGGAGTTTCTGCCCTCGGCCGTCCTTGAAGCCCGGACGGTTAAGCCCGCCAATAGGAAGCCGCGAGGCAACTCGCGGGAGAGGAAACGGCCAATGAGAAGGCGCGGTGGAGAGAGGCGAGCGAGGCCGAAGCCGGGCGGCTGGCGGAGAAAAGGGCAGGATTTCCCTGGCGGCTGAGGACAGAAAGCTGCGGTTGCAACTGCGCGGTGCTTTTGTGATGGTCGTGCAAAGGGGGGCGGGGGTCCCGGGGCATCCTTGCACCGAAGGAAGGGCTCCAAATTTGGTCCTGGACAAAGAAAAATCCCGGTTTTGACGCTGGCGCAGATTGTCCTCTCTATGCAGAGCATGGGACTTGCAGTGCAACGCCTGTCGGGGGTTCCAGCCTAGGCAAGGAAGCCAGTGGGGTCACTTCAGGGCCCTGACCCGTTGCATAGTTGACCCCGATTCTTTGCAAAGTATGGACCCCAGTTTAGTTCCCCCATTGGACAGGGGCGCATCAATCGCACCCGTCACTGAAAAGCAAAGTTATGCAGGGGGGGGGGGGGGGGGGAAATAAAAAGGTTGCATAACCTTGGCGACTTTTGACTTGTGGACTTCAACTCCCAGAATCCCCCAGCCTTAGTCCCTTCCAGCTTTAAGAGTTGATGATACTATGAAATGTGCCTTTGAGAAATAAATAAATAAAACACATACATGGAAAGCAAACTCCTTAGTGCAGAGGTCCCCAACTTTGGCAACTTTAAAGACTTGTGGACTTCAACTCCCAGAATTCTCCAGCCATTTCCACCGCAAGTCCTTCACCAAATAGCAGGCCACTAGCTGTATTAGAACCAGGAGATTCACCAGCCATTTCAGGTTGGGGCCGGGTCCCATCAGCTTCTTTATCTCAGGATACTTAGCTGTGGTTGTGGGAAGACATGAGTCAGTAGGGCTATGGATAGGGGCCCCAAGAATCTCTAGTAGGGTCACGTAGGAGGAAGTCCACTGATACAAGAGAACTTGCTTCTCAATGAACACATCTAGGATTCTGGGTATTCTCTGAGGTTGGTGTTCGTCTTGCAGACGTTTGATGATTCAACTTAGTAGCATCATCAGTGCTAGAAGGGACAGAGAGCCAACCTCGCTCCCTTCTAGCACTGATGATGTTACCTGTTTGGATCATGAAACATCTACAAGAAAACCACCAATTCCAGAGAGCTCTAAGGACCTTTACACTCTCCTCCTCCTCCTCCCTTCTAGCCTAGCACTGAGGATGTTACCAAGTTTGGTCCTAAAATGTCTGCAAGAAAGCTCAGAGACCCCCAAGGACCCCACACCAAAGAATCCCACAAACTTCATGAAGGTCATTTTGGTATGGACACCCATCTCCGGTGTCTTTTCCTTTCTGTCCATGAGATCTGTCCTTGCTTCTGTTTCTCCTGTCCTGTTCTCAGTTCTGGACTCTTGCTCTCCTCAAGATCTCAACCGACCACATCAGCCGAATCCGCGCCCTGCAAACTCACCCAGGATAATGTGGGGTTGATCTGTGTAGGACCACTCAAAAGTCATTTCGGCTTCTGGCGCTCCCAATGGAAGATCCCTCTCAGCCAAGAGAGGGATCTTCGGCTTCTGGCATGTCCCAGGTTGAAGGTGCTCTCCTGCTGATCCGGAACCTTCCCCAAAGGCTCTATAAACCCTCCCGATTGGGGAAATGGATGGGTGCTCCACCTCCTTGGCCAAAATACCTGCTTAACTTGTCTCCTGCCACCAGGACCAAATTCCTAGCGGTGCATGGAAGATGGTTGAGAGGAGAAGCTAAATCTTCTCTCTTGCTGGCATTTGGCTGGTTGACTCCGCTGTCAAAGGAGATGCGCAGATGGTTTCCCGGAGTTGTGGGCGCTCCATCCCCAGAGCCTTTCAAGAAAAGATTGGACAACTCATTTGTTTGGGATGGTACAGGTAGTCCTTGACTTGCGACCGCAATCAAGCCCCATATTTTTCTTTGTCGCTAAGCAAGACAGTGGTGAGGTGAATTTTGCCCCTTTCTTTGTGACAATTTTGACCTCTTGCCACAATGGTTGTGTCACAGCCATTGTGACTTCACAGTCACTAAATGAATGGCCACGACTCGAGGATTACCTCTACAGTGATCCTGACAAGTTAATTCATGCTTAATGGCTGCTGGAACTATAAGTCACTGCAGGGGGTACTGTAAGTCGTGGGGTCGGTATCAGTACATATACCGACGTAAGTCGGTATCAGTACATATACTTTTTACATAAATTTTTAACTATATGTACATTTATATATATTCCTTTATATATTTTGTTCCACTATAATATTTACCATATACATTTCTTATCGTCATAGTATTTCATATCCTTCCTGTTTTCACAGTCCGCAACCTAATTGCTGGCTTTGCTGTTCCATCCCCTTGATTAGAAAGTCTAAAATGGTTTGGTTTGCTGGAACATCAAGTGCCAAACTCCGCCGAGGAGAGGAAGAAATATAAAAATCTCTCCTATCTTTTCCATCCCAACCTCTCTAAAAGGCAGCCTCTCAGTTCTGCTATGGCTCTCAGGCCAGCTCTACCTCGCTATACAACCTATGACTTGCTGTTTAGATGTGCACTGAGAGACAAATTCTTGTGTGTCCAACCACACCTGGCCAATAATATTCTATATGGCCCTCTTTGTTGCTGCCTCTTGGGGTGGGGGGAAGGTCCTTCCCAGGTGGCATCTTCATCCAGTCACCTGCCTTGGGAAGGGGTTGATGTGGCCCTGCTTCCCCAACCTCCTTCCTGAAGGAACATCTTGGACCCCATCTTCTTCAGAAGGTCTCCTCATCAGCGTTTCTCAAGCTTGGCCACTTGAAGAGGTGGGGGACTTCAACTCCCAGAATTCCCCAGCCAGCTCTTAGTCCTTCCTCCTCCTCCTCCTCTTCTCCTTCCATCTTGCTCAGCATTATGGGTCTCTCAAGGAAGATGGATTCTTCAGCTCCTACAGCCTCCTTCTCATCTCTTTCCACTTTGCCCAGCATTATGGGCCTCCAAAGACAGATGGGTCCTTCAACCCTTCCATCTTCCTCCTCTTCTCCTTCCACCTTGCCCAGCATCACGGGGGTCTCAAGAGGGATGGGTTTTCAGCTCCTACAGCCTCCTTCTCATCTCTTTCCATCTTGCCCAGCATTATGGGTCTCTCAAGGGAGATGGGTCCTTCCACTGCCACTGAAGACCTCCACCTTGGGCACTCCGGAAATGACGTCAAAGCGGACGGGGCGTCGAGATGACGTCAACGTGCTGATAACATAACTGCCCTGGTGACGTCACCTCCCCAGATTCCGCTTCCTTAGGAGACGTTCGGCTTCGGGAGAATCGCGACCCTCGCGGCCTGCCGTAGACGAAGCGTCGCCAGAACCCCCCCCGAGAGTCGAGAATGCGCCTGCGTAGTCGTCTCAGACGCGTGCGCAGTGGCGCCGGAGACCGCTCGGCGCGGTTGCCATGGAGTCGGAAGGGGCCTACGAGCCGGGCTTTGTGGGAATCCGCTTCTGCCAGGAATGGTGAGCGGGGCGGGGGGTCAGGGAGAGCCCGGACTCATTAGAACATGGGAGCGGTAGTCCGCCCCGGCTTCTCCGCGAGGCCTTGAACCGTATTTCCCCCCCTCCCCCTCCCCTTCGCCCGCTCTCCGGGCCTGTTTTTCGAAAGGCCTCACCGCCGTTTCTTGCTCCTTCTCTCCCAGCAACAACATGCTGTACCCGAAGGAGGACAAGGAGAACCGGATCCTGCTCTACGCGGTAAGTGGGGGAGGCCTGGCCCGCCCAACAGGCGCGGACTTCCATCTCCCAGCATGTTCCTCTCCGTGGGCACCTGGCTGGCTCGCTTGGGGGATTCTGGGAGTTGAAGTCCTGGCCCTTATTAAAGGGGGTGGGGGGCGAGGTTGAGAGGCCCTCACCGACCCAAGGAGCTTGATGGGTTAGAAGCCATTGGAAGGGCACAGCCAGACCCCGCTTCCCTGAAAATCTGGGATGGGCCTGGAAATTGGTGTGTGGGTGTGTGTCTCAGCCTCTCTTGCCCCACTTTGAGACACTTTGCCTGGACCTGCTTCTCAAACTTGTCCCCTTTAAGAGTCCCAGAAGCCCCCAGCCTACACGCTAATGAAGTTGAAGATGGATGGACTACAACTCCCAGAGTTCCCCAGCCATTCTGCCCTCCTGCTACGGGCGTGGGGGTGCGTGGGAGCTTGACCTATCCGTTTCCCCATGGAAGCCATTGCTGGGGCTGCCCGTCCCATGGAAGCGTTTGGACTCCGGGGCCTCCCAAGCGCCATCAGCCATCGGA